ATGCAAGGCTGGTTCAACATTCGCAAATCAATTAACATAATCCAGCATATAAACAGAACCAAAGACAAGAACCACATGATTATCTCAATAGATGCAGAAAAGGCTTTTGACAAAATTCAACAGCCCTTCATGCTAAAAATGCTCAATAAATTCGGTATTGATGGAATGTACCTCAAAATAATAAGAGCTATTTATGACAAACCCACAGCCAATATCATACTGAATGGGCAAAAACTGGAAAAATTCCCTTTGAAAACTGGCACAAGACCGGGATGCCCTCTCTCACCACTCCTATTCAACATAGTGTTGGAAGTTCTGGCTAGGGCAATTAGGCAAGAGAAAGAAATCAAGGGTATTCAGTTAGGAAAAGAAGAAGTCAAATTGTCCCTGTTTGCAGATGACATGACTGTATATTTAGAAAACCCCATTGTCTCAGCCCAAAATCTCCTTAAGCTGATAAGCAACTTCAGCAAAGTCTCAGGATACAAAATTAATGTGCAAAAATCACAAGCATTCTTATACACCGTAACAGACAAACAGAGAGCCAAATCAGGAATGAACTTCCATTCACAATTGCTTCAAAGAGAATAAAATACCTAGGAATCCAACTTACAAGGGATGTAAAGGACCTCTTCAGGAGAACTACAAACCACTGCTCAGTGAAATCAAAGAGGACACAAACAAATGGAAGAACATACCACGCTCATGGATAGGAAGAATCAATATCGTGAAAATGGCCATACTGCCCAAGGTAATTTATAGATTCAATGCCATCCCCATCAAGCTACCAATGAGTTTCTTCACAGAATTGGAAAAAACTGCTTTAAAGTTCATATGGAACCAAAAAAGAGCCCGCATCTCCAAGACAATCCTAAGTCAAAAGAACAAAGCTGGAGGCATCACGCTACCTGACTTCAAACTATACTACAAGGCTACAGTAACCAAAACAGCATGGTACTGGTACCAAAACAGAATATAGACCAATGGAACAGAACAGAGACCTCAGAAATAATACCACACATCTACAGCCATCTGATCTTTGACAAACCTGAGAGAAACAAGAAATGGGGAAAGGATTCCCTATTGAATAAATGGTGCTGGGAAAATTGGCTAGCCATAAGTAGAAAGCTGAAACTGGACCCTTTCCTTACTCCTTATACGAAAATTAATTCAAGATGGATTAGAGACTTAAATGTTAGACCTAATACCATAAAAATCCTAGAGGAAAACAACCTAGGTAGTACCATTCAGGACATAGGCATGGGCAAAGACTTCATGTCTAAAACACCAAAAGCAACGGCAGCAAAAGCCAAAATTGACAAATGGGATCTCATTAAACTAAAGAGCTTCTGCACAGCAAAAGAAACTACCATCAGAGTGAACAGGCAACCTACAGAATGGAAGAAAATTTTTGCAATCTACTCATCTGACAAAGGGCTAATATCCAGAACCTACAAAGAACTCAACCAAATTTACAAGAAAAAAACAAACAACCCCATCAAAAAGTGGGCAAGGGATATGAACAGACATTTCTCAAAAGAAGACATTCATACAGCCAACAGACACATGAAAAAATGCTCATCATCACTGGCCATCAGAGAAATGCAAATCAAAACCACAATGAGATACCATCTCACACCAGTTAGAATGGCAACCATTAAAAAGTCAGGAAACAACAGGTGCTGGAGAGGATGTGGAGAAATAGGAACACTTTTACACTGTTGGTGGGATTGTAAACTAGTTCAACCATTATGGAAAACAGTATGGCGATTCCTCAAGGATCTAGAACTAGATGTACCATATGACCCAGCCATCCCATTACTGGGTATATACCCAAAGGATTATAAATTATGCTGCTATAAAGACACATGCACACGTATGTTTATTGCAGCACTATTCACAATAGCAAAGACTTGGAATCAACCCAAATGTCCATCAGTGACAGACTGGATTAAGAAAATGTGGCACATATACACCATGGAATACTATGCAGCCATAAAAAGGATGAGTTTGGTCCTTTGTAGGGACATGGATGCAGCTGGAAACCATCATTCTTAGCAAACTATCACAAGAACAGAAAACCAAACACTGCATGTTCTCACTCATAGGTGGGAACTGAACAATGAGATCACTTGGACTCAGGAAGGGGAACATCACACACCGGGGCCTATCATGGGGAGGGGGGAGGGGGGAGGGATTGCATTGGGAGTTATACCTGATGTAAATGACGAGTTGATGGGTGCAGCACACCAACATGGCACAAGTATACATATGTAACAAACCTGCACGTTATGCACATGTACCCTACAACTTAAAGTATAATAATAATAAATAAATTTAAAAAAAAACATGCATTATCTCACATACTTACCTTTTTTTGTGATGAGAATGCTTAAAAATACATATATAAATCATAAAATATATATAGATTTACAGGACATTTTGTATAAAATATAAAGTCTATATTTTTCTTTACTTATTACTATAAAACAAAGTACAACATACATATAGTATTAAAATGAAGCCATACTAAAGCCATATAAAAAAGTCATTGACATTTCTGATGTACAGGCATATTTTAGGAATTGTGAAGATGCCAAATACAGCCTTTATAAAGAAAAACAATAATCAAATCCTTAGTTTATTTTCATTGCAGTAATTTTGAAATAAATTTGACACAGACTAACCAGTGTATCTGTAGAAAAACACATGGGTTGAACACTTAGCACAGGGAATTGAAGTACTAACTAGACAAAGTTGAATAGGCCAGAATAGTAAGGAATATTCTTGTTAAAGAAAAATAGTTTCTGTAAAAACTTTTTAAAAAACTGTCATTTGGTAAATGCCTGTCTTCAATAAAGAGCAGAAATTAAAAGTAGAAAAAAAGATGTTCTTACACATTGAGCTTTACACAATCAACTCGGCATTGATATTTTGTATTTTTCCTAGGGAAAAATGGGATTCTTTCCAAAAATCTCTCATGCAAATATATTGAAAATCATTATTTAAAAATATATCAATTAGATACAAAATTTCAAACAATGGTATATCAATATTCATAAGATATTGCTTCATACAATATAAAGCACTCTTTTTTTCCTCAAAAGAGGAAGACCTCTAAATTTTCTTTAAAGTATAGATTTTATGATGGTAAAAAGGTGGACATCTGTCAAGTTTCTTAGGAAGTGTCTCTTCTCAAAAAGTGGACTTTTTCTACTATAAACTGGAGCAGTCCTTTAACCTAGTACTCACTTTTGCTCTCGAACAAAAGAAATCTACCATAATTAATTTCTTAAGTGGAGTAATTTTTATTGCTCCCAAAATGCAGTCTTGCTGAAGAGTCTGAAAAAGTCTTCATCGTTTTGCGAATTTATTCCAATTCTAAAAACTTATTCTAAGAAAATTAAGAATAACTATCAATAGGAGTGATTATTTTAAATTACACTTGACAGCAAGTGTGAAAACAACATAAATGCCCAGTATTGGAGAACCAGTTATGCAGACCGTGATGTGTTTGTGAATATCATGTGTTGATCAGTATTTACTAGGATGGAAGAGTATTGACAATGACTCTTGTTCAATTTTACCATTTACTTAACAGTAAAAAAAAATGTAGGTTATAAAATATTCTGTAATTAACCCATTTTGTGATGTTTAAAGGTTTGCAAATACATCTATGAAATGATTAGCCATGGTTATTTTTAGGTGATGGGATTTTTAGGTTGGTCTTAGTCATCTTCCTTAAGCTTATCTCCATTAACATATCTTTATACAAGTGTGTGTCATTTGTTTAATGAGAAAAATCGTGCATATGAAATTATAATTATATATAATCATGATGCATTTCTACATACAGATGTGTGTCATCACAAAAGTAACATCATGTCCTAGCAATGAGGAGAATTACTAAGCTCTGGAAATGAGAATCCTACATACTGGATATTACAGGTTGAAATTCTGTTCTGAGCCTGATCAATATAATCTATTGGGTTGGGCATTTGGTTAATAAAAAGAAATGCTTTTAATGTCCCACCAAAAATGTAGATCAGCAAAAAATATTTGCCTAAACTTATATTTATATGATTCATAGTTGAGCTTCAAGTCCCCTTCAAGCCTGTGTAATTTATGTCATGCTCCCCTCATCTCAGACTACTAGACCTGGGGCTTGGGCCCAGATTTTTCCCAGAGGTACGATCTTCTGGTAGCTGGTGTTTGATACCTGAAGCTCAGTAAACTCAGCTGGTTTGAATTATCATGGAGACTTGGGGTTATGAACTGTGTCACATCTCTCATCTCATACCTGGCACTCCAGTCACATTGAAATTCACACCATTGGCAAGTACCGCCCTTGTTATGCATTTGTTTATGCTGGATCGTCCACCTGGATGAACTTTCCTCCTCACTCCACCTCCTAGCACCGAAGTCTGCCATCTTTAGAGGTCTTGTTTAAATGCTTCCTGCCCCAGGGAGCTTCTTCTCCCCACTCCCAAGTGGGATACTCTCTTTCCTTCCAAAGCCTGGGAAACCACCTTTGATCCACACCGTCGGAATGGGTCTCCTCTGTCTGCTGTCTTTGACCTGAGGTACTTTTTAAATTTCTGCTTTAAGTTATTTTGAACACAAATTGAGAGATAAAAATGAGTAAGTTAATCAGCTTAAAATGATATTTACTAATCCACTCTCCATTGCCTCTCCTACTGGATTATAAGCTTTCTAGAGCAGGGACAAATTTCCCACTTACATTTGTAAACACAGAGGCCAGTACACAGTAGGTGCTCAATATATGTTTATTGTAGTCTTTGGTGCTAGAATCATGCAATGACATGGGTTGATGGCTGTGAGGCTGCTGGAAACTGCGGCATAAATCCCAAAAACATCTGCTTCTTTAAAATACCATCAGCTGCCTTAAGAGGAAGGAGGAGAAGCACTGTGCACTTGGGTTGAGGCAGGGGTCTCAGCACATCTGAGCAGGGGTCTCAAGAACTCACAGAAGTCAGGGCTCCAAGTAAAGCAGCTTTATTGTTGCTGTGCTGAAGGGGCAAGTGGACGAGAGCAGCAGCAGCGTGGCTCAGCCTAGTTCTCGCCTCTCTGGAGCTGGGGATCAGGAAGTGTTTCTCAGCCCAAATGAGAGGTTGAGGGCCTGGCTTTCCAAGGGGAAATTACATATACCCAAAGTGGGGGTAGGGAAAGAGCAACTGCACCTGTGCCTCAACTCTTCTGGGCTCAGTCGCCTTCACACTCTTCCTCTTTGCAGTGGTAGGTTGTGCCCCCACTTAGGCAGCGCGGCTTTCGACGAGCCCTCCTGGGCTTCTGAACCTCAGGCCTTTGGGAACTGGAATGACAGCCTTCTGAATGGGGAGCACCACAAGGAGTCGAGCAGGGAGCCAGGCAGGGGTTTGATCTTTGGGGAGGGGAGCATTTAGCAACATTTGGAGGCTTCCAAGATTGCTGCTTCTGCTGTGACATTGCTTGGCTACCAGGTCGAATCTGGAAGAAAAATAGTTATTTCAGGGACCCAGGCAGCTTGTGCTTCTGTTTCTCTCCTCCATGAGCTGGAGCTGTCAAAAACGGAGTCCAGCATTTGCAACCCACTGAACTCCATCTCAGGAGGAGAAAAACAGACTTGAAAGGACTAAATATTTGGGGAGTAAATCTTCCCAGGGGACTCACTAATAACCATGTTGATGATATATGCTTCCTTTAAAAAAAAAAAAAAGACAAATTGTACTTAGTTGAGCTGACAGTTTGCTTTTCCCAGCCCAATGTCCTCCTAGTCAAATGCAAAGGAGAGCCAAGTCTCTGCTCTTTCTTTACTCAGTCTTATTCTGTCCCCAAACTCCTAAATCTGACGATCCCATCTCTGCTTTTCTGGCCCTCTAACTTCTATGGCTTTCTCTCATGTTAGATGATTTGGGGTCTTTCTTTTGCTGGGATCCTCTTCCCTTCCCTTCTTTCTACCCCAAGCATCTCCTACCTGGCTTTTCAGCTCCCTGGGAAGAGACAAGAGGAGAGATCAGTACTGCCTTAGCAGGACTTGAGCTACATCCAAGTGTCTCTTCAGCCAGAAGTAGCCTTACCCTAGTGGAAGATGTGTGGACAAGTTATCCCAGGAGGAGTCTGGAGGCCTTGTGTTTCCAGGAAGTAAGAGGCTCTTTTATATATCCTCCAGCTGAAGCCTCCAGACCACATGTCATTGGAGGACAGCCATGGGGCAGATGATTGATCTGGATATTTCACAATTCCCAGTGCGAGACTTTCCCCACCCAAGACCTACATGTAGCTGGGATAGGGTTCAAAGGCATCTGCAGGTGAGTAAGTGAGCAGAAAGCTGGGGCCTTCAGGTTGGCCTACATAGAAGTGGGTACACTGGCTAAGTCTGGATGATGTCTTTGGGGGTTTGGGCGGGTTGCAGCTGCTGTTGAATTCTATGTAGAATTGAAGGGAAAAATCGGGTTCAACAACCCCCAGGGTCTGAGGAAGACCCTCCCTGTCTACTTCCCACCCATCATCCATGACTGTCAGCATCCCATTCCGTGTCATCACCTCTGTGGAGACTGGCCCAGTGCTCCAACTACATCTGAGTCCTTCATCCTCTGACCTTTATAGCTATATCTCAAAGCCTTTACTATTGCTTTGGGTCACGTGACCAAGATACATATCCTATTTCATCTGTTAAGCTGTTATTTGATGACAGGGACCTTGCCTTTATCACTTCTGCATTCCTAGAGCCTGATGTTGTCCCTGACACAAAGAAAAATGCTCATTAGTATTTGTTGAATGAAACAGTCTATGAGCCATTAGAAAAGACTTTGTGTTTCAGGAGAAAAAAAATAGGAAGAAAATAAAGCCCAACTCATTTTGTTTTGGGGATCAGACCTTGACTTCTTGTTTCCATCATTCTCCCCTAAGGCATTTGTGAACACCCTTTCATAAATACTACAGGGAACTCTGTGCATGGACCTCACCTTACACAATAGGCTGAGCAGAGGGTGGAAAGTAAAACCTTCACACACCTGCTGTCTCTTAAATGCAAAAGGGGAGCTCTTCTTGGAATTATCAAGGGACATTCTGGAAAAGCCTTCCACAGAGTGAAAAGTTCTTCACTTTTCATGAAAATTGAGATCATCATGTTTTGGCAGTGCTTAAATTGGGAACATTCTCATCTAAATACAGTTCCTTACCTCTGGATGCTTCCATCACAGAATTGCTCCTGGTGTGCACAGCTAAGTTAAAAGGCACTGATGGAACTCCCTGCTGCTCAAGACTGAGCCTCACCTGCCTCTGTATTCCTGATGCCTGACACATAGTAGCTATTCAGGAAACAATTGGGTAAATAAAAAGATGAGCAATTACAAGGAACATTCTGACAGTAGGGGCAGTCCTCAAAGTACTTCAGATCATGTATAGGACAAAGGCGAGTAGGTTTGGGGTATGGGAGAGGGTATGAAGACCAGGGTGGGAAATAGGACAAGGCCAGAAAAGGAGCAGATGTTGGATCCCAAAATTCAGCAGGGCAGGATCATCAGGTCTCAATTGCTTCATCTGGGAAAGCTTTGAGATGCAGTTTGGATGGAGAAAGAGAAGATCTTTGTGAGTGAAAGAGCAGGTGGGAGAATGGTATGAAACCTCGCTCACCCTGTTAGAGTAGAGCCCTGGAGAGAGAGTGCCTGATTTAGACGGCCTCAGGGAAAGACCCCATCTTCCTTTACTTCCTTCTCCTCCTTCTCTCTCCTTCTCTTTCTCCTCTTTTCTTCCCTCAGACACCAGAAATAACTCTGATTGCACCTCAGAAGTGCTTCCCTTGCACTAAGCGTTAGTAGGAAGGCAAAGTAACTTTGGTCTCAATGCACCAGTTGCTCCTTTTCCCCACCCAAGACCTGCACCACTTAAACACATGCTTCAGAGACCTCACACATCACAATGCATTTCTTTGAGGCTAACTAGCAAGTACCCAACTCTTACTGTCTCTACCTAGGGCTGAGGGTTCTTTCTGGGGGCCCTACCCTAGGCAAACTACACTTCCTGCCTCCTCTATATCTCTCCCAGACCACCTCCCATAATAAATTGCCCACAAAAATTTCTAAGCCCCCTCCTTTTCAGTACAGTGAATTTCATCACATATAGGATGGTGTGTGTTCAGCATCTAGATTTGTCTAGCTCATAAAGTGAGCCCGTTTGAGGCCCCTCAGCTGCACTGTCTTCCAGATAGGCTTACAAGTCCAGCCAGTTTTAAATCAGGACCACAGAAATGTAATGTTCTTATTCTAATCCCACTCCACTTCTCTTCCTGGTTCAGATTGTGTCTATGAGTATAATTCTGTGATTTGATATTTATTAAGTCCCAACTATGTACTGGATATAAGAAAGAATAAGATGTCTATATCATGTTTCAAAGCTTTCACTCTAGAGAGAATACAGACAAATTAATAGGTAACACAAGATTGTAAGTGAAAGATGGGTAAATAGGCTAATTGTAGTTGTAGCTTGAGAACAGAACTAGTCCTTTTAAATGTACCAAATTAGAATGGTAGTTTCTCAAGTGATGTGGCTCCCACCATTATCAGAGTCCCAACCTGGTCTGAAGACAGGAGCCCGTCTCTGAAAATAATCCCATCTCATTCCTGGTCTCTATTCATGAGACTGTTTCTCTGAGCAGCAGATATCTTCAGGTCCCCAGCCTCAAATGAAGTTGCTCGGCTTCCCAAGTGTCTGGGTTTCTCTTCAGTCAATTTCTTTCAGATATCCCAAATCATTTGGCTATTCCTGAAGTAACTCCTCAAATATATTTTTAAAATCTCTTTTATTTTGGTTTCTGTTTTTAATGAATAATTGCCCTGTTAAATGTTCTTCCAGAACACTCTGATGTCTTCAGGGTGTTCTGGCTAAATTCCTTTAGCCAGCATTCAAGTCCCTGTGTATACTTGAACCTATCCCATCACTTTATGCTTAACTTCTGGAACTTCCTTTCATTATGTTCCTCCTCTGCTGAATGGATGGATTTATTGTATGGTGAACAGGCTTTTATCCTGTCTGATATCTGTCTGTCTCTCCCTCTCTTTCTTCCTCCCTTTCCCTCTCTGTATCTTTGTCTTCCTCCTTTTATTTACTCAGCCTGCCTGCCTTCCTTTTCTTTCTTTCTTTCTTTCTTTCTTTCTTTCTTTCTTTCTTTCTTTCTTTCTTTCTTTCTTTCTTTCTTTCTTTCTTTCTTTCTTTCTTCCTTCCTTCCTTCTTTCTTTCTTTCTTTCTTTCTTTCTTTCTTTCTTTCTTTCTTTCTTCCTTTCTTTCTTTCTTTCTTCTCTCTCTCTCTCTTTTCTTCTTTCTTTCTTTCTTTCTTTCTTTCTTTCTTTCTTTCTTTCTTCCTTTCTTTCTTTTTTTCTTTCTTTTCTTTCTTTCTTTCTCTCTCTCTCTTTCTTTTTCTTTCTTTCTTCTTTCTTTCTTTCTTTCTTTCTTTCTTTCTTTCTTTCTTTCTTTCTTTCTTTCTTTCTTTCTCTTTCTTTCTTTCTGTCTTACTTCTTGTCTTTCTTGGTTCCTCTTCAGATAATACTTCTGAGTGCCAGTCTAAATCTCATGTTCTCTGTAATGGATTTCTAGACGATGCCTGGCTGAAAAAATCTTTCAGAGTATTTATTTCTTATTATACATATAATTTATTATCATAAACAATTGTACTTGTATGTGATATTATTAATGCCTTGAACATGGGGCTATGACCTGTATATCTCATGTCTCATTTGAGTTTACACAATGGTTCATTACAGTTACCAGTTATTAGGTTTGTTAATTATTAAGTTTTTTAAAATCCCCATCACAGACATTTGCAAAGAACTTTAGTTTACTGAATGCTTTTCAAATGTTATGTACTGAGTCAGTTAATTCTGATGAAATATAGACTCCGGCCATGACAAAATCAGACACTTACGGTGAGGTTGGGATTATCCACATCACACTGTGGACACTTCAACTATATTTCCCGAACACTATTGTATATTTTTACTTAGACTGTGCCGAAGGGTTTAGTTTGAGGAGCGTGTTCAAGAAATCTATATCATGTTTTCTACAGGCACTTCTTATTTTAGAACCCAGTCCTGCTCATGTTTTGTTAGGAAGAAGGGTCAAGAGATCTGGTCCTACCTTTTTCCTCCAGGTAGGATGGTATCCAAACCACCAATTATCCCAAATTGTACTCAAGACTATAATATCACGAGAACTGGCTTGTTAATCTAGGCCAAGCTTGTTCAACTCCTGTGGGCCCCATGTGACCCAGGACGCCTTTGAATGCAACCCATCACAAATTTGTAAACCTTCTTAAAACATTATGAAACTTTTTGTGATTTTTTTTTTTTCGGAGTCTTGCTTTGTGGCCCAGGCTGGAGTGCAGTGTAGCGATCTCCGCTCACTGCAAGCTCTGCCTCCCGGGTTCACGCCATTCTCCTGCCTCAGCCTCCCAAGCAGCTGGGACTACAGGTGCCCGCCACCATACCCGGCTAATTTTTTGTATTTTTAGTAGAGACGGGGTTTCACCGTGTTAGCCAGGATGGTCTCGATCTCCTGACCTCGTGATCCACCTGCCTTGGCCTCCCAAAGTGCTGGGATTACAGGCGTAAGCCACTATACCTGGCCTGTGATTTTTTTTTTTTTTTTTTTTTTCCCATCATCTATTGTTAGTATTAATGTGTTTTATGTGTGGCCTAAGACAATTTTTCTTCTTCCAGTGTGGCCCAAGGAAGTCAAAAGATTGGATGCCCCTGATGTAGACCTTTGGGTATAAGTGGTTTAGTTTCCATTTCAATAGAATAAATTGTCATTGGCAAAAGAAGAGCTTACTGTAGGGTTTTCTTCATGAGACGAGTAAGTCTCTTTTTTCTCTTTCTCACCATCCAAAGAAAGAGAAGAGAAAGCTTCTAAGACTTAGAAGAAAATAGTTAAAACTGTGTCCACAGTGTAGGTTGTTCACAACTCTATATTTAAAAACTTTTAGAAACTAAATTATAAAGGAAATCTATAAATACATAAAATCTCAATTCAGAGTATTTTTTAAAAGCCTTATAGAAAATCTAAGACAATTTAAATAAAAAATCCCTTTAGGGAGGACTTTCAGAACAATGGCATGAAGAACTCCCTGGACCCTTCTC